CTTGGAACACCCAAACAGCCGACTGTCGTTTAATTTCTGGTTCATAACAGTAAATCCACGATTCATCACCACTAACAATGCTGTACATATTTTTTGAGTTTCCGAAATTGAAACGGTCAAGCGTTTTTTGACACCAATTAACCCTGGCTGCTTCCTGCTCTTCAGTCAACAGGTGGGGTATCCAACGAGAAACTAATTTTCTTACTCCTACTTTTTTGAATTGAAATCTTTGAGATCTTCAAGGACGCCTCAATCTCGCGATATGTCATATGTCTATCTACAATGATGAGTTTGCGCACAGCATCGACGTTTTCCTGGGTGACTGCCGTTTTTGGTGCACCCACCCTGGGATCGTCGCTAAGACTCACCCGTCTACGTTTGAATTCTCCATACCAACGAGAAATGACTTGGTGACACTTAAAAATTCACTGTAGTGAGAACACTACACGTATTGTTGTGAAACTTTGAATTTAAGTTTACTACAGTATATTCAGATAAGAGATAGACCGGACATAAACAAGACCACGTGATCATCGAACGCTGTAACATTCGGCAGGGACGTATTAAGAGTCACGCAGTACATATTTTAGATAGTAGATGCTGCTTTGCGTAACTTTGTAGTAAATTAGCACAGTTCGATGTGTATACGATTGGTGATGGATATAGGATCATGTGGGGGTGGGGTGAGAAATATATAATGATGTAAATATACATAAGGGTTTCAAAATTTTCGCTTCGATTTCCAGCTTCGGATGCCGCCTGATGTTTGGTGAAATACAGTCGAATATAATCTCAAAATGGCGTTTAAATTAGCCTAAATTAAAAATAATATATTTTTTGATTTCTAGGTAAATATGTAACCAAATTAAAACGTTCAAAACGTAAAAAAATGTGCATGGTTGAACATTGTCAGAAAGTAGATTCTTGAATAGGTTTTGCCAAACTGGGTTCAAAAATGTCAATAATTAATTAAAAAATACAGTAGCTTTATAATTACTTATAACTTACCGAATTTGATGAACGACATCTTTTATTGGAAAGATGAGCTTGATGAGCTTTCATCATCGCTACTGCCTGAAGCACCAACGTCAATAATGAATGGCTCGACTTGTTCCTCTAAAATATTGTCCAGTTCCCACATTCTCTTTTCAACTTTGTCTTTCACGTGCTTAATACAGTTTTCCCATTTTTGCGCTGTTATTAATTCTAGTGCTTCTTTGAAAAGTCCTTTGAGGTCACAAAATTTAAAAGTTGTATTGTGCTTAGCTATATAATTTTTAACCTCTGCCCATATGAGCTCAATGGGATTGAGCTCGCAATGGTATGGAGGTAAACGGAGCACAGTTTTATTTTGACTTGCTGCCATTTCGTCAATGGCGTATTTTTGATATTCCGCCTTGTGATCCTTGACAATTCTTAATAATTGTACTTTCAGCATTGCTTCTTCAAAGTTGATTTTTTTCGAGCGGAGCCAATTTTGAACATCAACTTTCCTTGAAGCCGTTGTTGGGACATTCTCCATTCTTCGAGAATGATAAGGCGCATTATCCAACACAATTACTGCGTTTTCTTCTAAGTTCGGTAAAATTTTTGAAAACCACTGTTCAAACGATTCGCCATTCATTTCCTCGTGGTAATCTCCAGTTTTCTTAGACTCAAAGCACCACAGACCGTCAACAACAAATCCATCCTCACTGCCAATATGGCAGATAATGAGCCTTTTCCCTTTACCTGGAAATCGAAGTACTAACTGGTGTAGATTTATTTCAATAAGCGAACCTTTTTCAAATGTTTTCATCACATTCAGCGAAAAAACATTGAGACATGAGTATCAGATTGCTATAATTGGGATTATTTAGTCATATTGAAAGAAAGAATATTGAACGTCGTATGATTACTCAGCGCTTCACAATTTAATTTAAAGTTATAAACCTTTAAAAAATGAATGATCAGGAACCTGAAATACGCGAAAATATTAATATTAACAAATTATAACTTTATAAAGCTTAAAGTATGAATTAAAATGATTAGAAATATTAGGAACGGTACACAATATAAAACTTAGTAACTTTTTTTAAGTTTATAATATTCGACATATTTTAAGATTATATTAAAAAATTATTGAAATATCGAAAACACATAAAAACATGGCTTAAAAAAGTTCTAACACATGAAAATGACAATAAAACATCCACGCATTTTATCGAAAGTTATAAAAGTTTTGTTACTTGTAATATGTTTTATCTGCCCCCTGGAATTAATGTTTAGAACCTTGTTCCCAAGGTTTGAAAAACATCCGATTGTTGTCTATTACTCGTATTTACCTGCTGGATTTTTTAATCCGGTGGACAGTCCATCTAGAAAGGCCCTCCTGGATGAAGTTACAGAATCATCAACCCATACTTTATTTGTAGTGTGTCCTGCGTTTACCCACGTTTCATCAAGGTAATACATCTTCCTGTTTTGATTTCTATATTTCCCAATTTTTGTTAAATAATCCCTCCTCCATAGCACAATTTCTTCTCTATCCAGTAGTAAACTATTACGACCCCGTTTTTTCCATTTGAAATTTAAATGCTTCAGTAACGCATGGAAAGTTGATCGTTTGAAATTTGGCAACGTTGTATCTCCATTTACCTCCTGCAGTACTTTATCTATAGTAGGTATTTCATTCCTAAAGAAGAATTCATGCACTTTCCTCCTAATCGCATGCTTATCAGCTTCATCCAATAATTTAACAATACTTTTGCGATGTTTACTGATCATTGGCTCAGAAAACGTGTGATTTTTTTTGTATTGTCTTAACACATTAAACACTGATGCGCGACACACCCCAACTTTATGAGAAACCTTCACAACAATTTCTTTGATGGTTGATGCCTCGTTCTCCTCGCGCTCGATCTTATATACGTAATATTCAAAATGAACTCTTTCATTTCTGCACTCAGGTGTCTTTTTTTAGAGCGTTTCCTAGGTGGACTACAGGAGTTTACAACTTCATCGGCAGCATCTGTACTACTGGGCATTTTGCGCAAGCAGTTGATAACAATAACAATCAATAACAAGGTATAACAATAACAACGACAAACTCAACAACTTAATAAGAAAACAAGCGAAAACGTCCAAAGAAATATCAAATTGCAATGATGCACACGACATACGTAACACGTCTGAACCTGAATGTGACTCTGCCTTGATACGACTGCTCTGCCGCTCGGCATAGGCATTTAATTGCGAATTGACCAATGAGGGCTCCTGTTTTACGTCGAGACGGCGGCGTTAGCGTGAAAATCACCCGAACCTTTTGTTTACATCCGGTCTATCTCTTATCTGAATATACTGTAAAGAGTGAGGTTAAGATTCAGTACTGACGTTCGATCCGCGCAGCCTACTATGTTTCTATATGCAAAACATCCCTCGTAGTTACTAGTTGAGTGTTTATCACCTGATTTATAAAGTGCAGTAAATTTACTTAATTTAAGTTCATCTGGAAATTTTCCAGTTATAATTATGTTGTTAATTAGTTTTACTAATGTTTAGATAAACAGCAATTCGGAAAATAAGACGTGACAACAACCAAATAACAACCCGAATTATTTTCCGCATTCTTTTCATCAACACAAAAATATTGTTCTTCAGGCATAGATTTATTCTGTGTCTGTTAGAAAGAAATCAGGAGTCAGATATTGTGTAACAGTCCCTCTGATACTGCTTCGGGGTTTGGGCGAGTATGAATTTGTGTATTCTGAATTGCGGGGCGACAAGCAGAAAGAAACCAAATATTGTTTGTTTTCTTTATACTATATCCAAGTCCGTCCCTGCATTCTTTCTGATTCGGTAATTTAAAAAATGTCTGAAACACATTTATTGCAACGTATCCGTCCGTCGTTGCGGAAGCGCTGCTGCACAAATAGAAAACCACGTCAGAAAAAGTCGGAATGAGAATAAAATGTATACAAAACGAGAAAACTCGTACGCTGTTCACGCAAGACTTGAATAAAGCTAGGATTTTTATGCGCCGCTTGGCGTGATGTGCAATTAAATAATACGTTAAAGTTCCTTACCAGCGGTAATTAAAGTTTTCTCTTGCGATCCTCAAAACACAAGCTTTTGAGTTTTACTTTCTAGGCCGCTGAGCGAGGAAGTATTGTAATCACGAAACATTTCTAAAATGAGATACTACGTTTCTTGCACGTTATATGATATGAGCAGGGTGGCCGATATTTTAGAGGCAACTGATAATTTTTTTTTTTTAAATTTTAGGGGTGTTTGATTGTGAGTAGGAAAGATGAGGTTTGAATGTATGGCAATTTTTTCATGTAAGTATCCAATCCTGGTAAAATTAGCTGTATACGGACACGCGAGGCGGTTAAAGTCGATCAAACAATGTTTATAAACTATCGCCCATGTGTCGGAGAGCAAATAACGCACATATTTCGATTTTCACACTACAATTTAAATTGTTGATGAAATGACCGCATTGCACGCAAAGCAATGCGTATTTGGAAATTCTGTTATGTCCGGCATTATGTTGGTTGGTTAATAAACAAACAATATAGTTTATTAGTATGGACTAAACGAGCTTATATACAATGCTGTAATTTAATTTGGCTTCCAGAGGCGTGTGCAGTGTGTTTGAGTGTCGCATTTGATTCGAGGACATTTTTCGGCCAGGTATCAAATGAAATGGACTTGAAAGGGCAACTACTTTTGACGTATGTCAACCTTCACCAAAAATTCATTTGTTTAACGGGGATATCCACAAATGGTCACTTGATATTCGACAAGCCTTCAATGGCTATTTCGTGTTTCATAGTGGCTTGAAAGCGAGGGTCACTCAAGGGCATTTTTCAGGTCAAGTAATTTTTGTGTACCATCAAAGCTGTCACCTAGTTGAGAGTGATTGGGGTTGGGATGAGGGGTTCCTGGTATTTGTTGAGAACAATGAGGAATCATCTTCAATTGAAAGGGTATTTGAGAGATACTATAAATCTTTTCAGTTTCTATGTTGAACAGTAGGCACGATATAGATTCTCAGAAGGCACAGTAAGTGTGACATCATAGTCCCATTGATTTATTATTTATTTAGTGATCGAACCAGTTAATTTATTGGGTGAGTAACAGCTGATGAAGGGAGATCACCACCAGTGGCTAGTAACTCCTTTTGGTATCCGCTTACTTATTTTGTAAGGTTTCTTGCTTTTTTCGTATGGTTACACCATCGTTTTTTCTTGCTTTGATAATGTCTTTGAATATCCTTTGTCAGCCTCTGAATATCATTTTCGTTCTTCAGTCATTTTGATCTGTATATCTATCTGTGTAACACAAATGCCAAAATCACAGCGATCAAATAGGTTAACAGAAACTTGAATGAAATTCGTCAGATCACGACGTTGCCAATTCCGAGACCTGCTTTCCAGTGGTTTTTGGTTTGATAGTGAATCGTTTTCGAACTGCTCCAGAAACAATGCATGAAAATACAACGTGCGGTGGAACGGTATTGGTGCTGAGCACTACTGAGCTACTCCGAGTTACTCAACGGGGTCACTGGAAAGCAGCTTATGAAAGATTTGAGGGTAGCTCCATTGAGGTACCCTCAAGTGCACTTGCTAGTGACGATTATGATTGTGACTTTAAATCTTCAGATTCAGATGATACGATTTGGCACCAACAAGTTTCGTTTATTGTTGTTACTCTATGCAAATGCCTAGCTTGAAGATGAAGATGAACTTGTTGCTTATTGTTCATTGCCGGATGAACCTCTACAGGTATGGCAATCTATTTTTCTAACAAACTCACTATCAACGTATCTAACATTGGCCATTACTCCCGCTTCCTCATCTGCGAGCCCCTTCCCACTTCAGTTATAGGTTTAAAATATTAACAATGAATACTTTGATAATATATAGTAGAAAATACCAACTTTATCACTCCCTAATCAAATTTGCAGCATAAAAATAACACATGTTGCAATTACAGCATATCAACCTATTTTCATTTCAATGCAAAATAAGTCTATAACGCATAGGTGGCTGTGAAAAATAAAAGCCATGACAATTGTTTTTATTAATCACAGCTGTCAGAATACGTTTAAAATAGTTTTGGGTAGTTAAGAATAATCGTGAAAGACAGGCGTGCGAATTATTTACAGTTAAGTGCTCTGTGGAGTGACGCTGTTGGAAGGAGAATTTCGACTCATAGAGAGGCCCACAAACTGGGATTTATCACTTGCAAGGTAAGTTTTATTATAAAAAAAAAGTGAAGTAAAAACCCTAAAGTTGCACAACTTGTTTATAGACCAACGAAAATCCACTATTAACTCCACTGCAAAAGAAAAATCAGCTTAGATGGGCTAAAGAACATAGACAATGCACACCTCAACAATGGTGTGCAATACAATGGAGTGATGAGGCCCGATTCGAAGTTTGTGTTAGTGACAGTCGCAGTAGAGTTATTCGCAAAAAAAATAAGCATTCCATGTTAACTGTCTGAAGAGAAAAGTGAAATTTCCAGCATCCATTATGGTCTGGGGCAGTATGTCATCAAAAGGAGTAGGGAAACTTCATTTTATTGCTGGAAATGTGGATACAAACAAATATTTGGCAATTTTAGAAGAATCGCTTTTACCAGTGATGGAAGAATGTTTGACATCCGGCCAAGATTTTGTGTTTTGAGCAAGATGGTGCAGCGTGCCATACCTCAAAAAAGGCTATAAAATGTATGGAAGAAAATATTTGTACCACTTTTGAAATGGGTTTCTAGCAGTACAGATCTGTCATCTATTGAAGCTTTGTGGCACGAGATGAAAAAGGTTCTACGACAACATCCTGCTCGTACAATCACCGAACTGAGACAAAAGCTTAAAGAAATATGGGATTTTTTCACACCAAATGTTTGCCAAAACTTGGTTAACACTATGCCCTAAAGAATTTCAGCCGTAATAAAAAATAAAGGTGATGTTACCCAATGGTAATCTTTCAATTGGTGCTTTGTTAACTTCGCGCATTTATTCGCACATTGTTCATTTGTTCAGATGTTCTATTAGTTATAGGTCTAAGTGATTTCAAATATGTATTTTTTACGACTAGAGTGTATCTAAAATGTTTTTGAGAAAGTAAATTGTTTTAGAAGTAAATAGTTTCGTCATGTAATAACATTTATTTCCGATAACATTGTAGGACTTTTTGACATACATGCACCACTAAAAACAGTGAGAGTGTCTAAGCCTCGTGCACCATGGCTCACAAACAATTTGAAAATGATAATGAAAGAACGAGTTAAGGCTTTTCATAAATACAGACGGTCTCGAACGGATGCGAATCGAAATCATTACAATGAACTGAGAAATTTTACCAAAACTGCTACACGTGCAGAGAAATCAGGCTACCTTCAACATCTATCTCGACAAAGAAGCTCTGCAGCTCTTTATAAAGCTCTTAAGTCATTTAGAATTCAGGATTCTAGTAATACTGACATTCCGGATGACTTAGCAGTTCTCAATGAAATAAATAACTATTTTACCGGTATATTCCAGTAAAGTGACGATGATTGCTCGGAAACTATCGAATTTTATAGCCATAACAAATTAAACCAAGATTTTCATTTTCAGTTCCGTCTTGTCGATATATCAACAGTATTGGATGCTTAAGTCCAATTCTAGTGGTATTGATGGCATTACCATTGAGATGATTAAATTGTGTCTACCTGCTGTAGGAATATACATTTTGCACTTAATAAATTGTTGTTTAGAGCGCGGTGTTTTTCCAAGTGCTTGGAAGGAAGCATTAGTGCAACCTCTTCCAAAGATTCCCAATCCTCAGGTTCCTGGTGATCTCCGACCTATTAGCTTGCTGTCAGCTCTATCAAAAATTCTAGAAAAAATAGTTTATATGCAGTTGAATGAGTATTTACTCGAACGCAGCATTTTGCCATTAAATCAATCAGGCTTTAGAAAGGGTCACAGTACCACTACCGCTTTGGCACGGGTTTGTGACGATGTACTAACAGCGGCGGATAGGCAAGAAGCAACTGCATTAGTCTTATTGGATTTCAGCAAGACTTTTGACACCCTGAATCATAAGCTGTTAGTTTCTAAATGTAAATACACTGGGTGTGACGACTTGGTTCTGGAATGGATAGATTGCTATTTAAATGAACGACATCAATATGTCGTCATACAAAATAAACTTTCAGATAAAAGGCCGATTTGTTCCGGCGTGCCTCAGGGATCCATATTAGGTCCACTTTTATTCCTTATATACACCTTTGACATTTCTAACACCCTTCAACGTTGTTCTAGTCAATCATATGCTGATCATATGCAGGTTTTTCATAATTTCTGTCCGAACAACTACCATTTAGCTAACAACCTTATCAATCAAGATCTGCAATACTTATGCACATATGCTGCAAAACATAATTTACGTCTAAACGCATGGAAATCGACAGCTATACTTTTTTGCTCCAAGAAAAAACGTACTTTCCTCAAATCAAAGTTAAATTTATCAATAAATAATAGTATCCTAATATTTTCCCATTCTGCAAAAAATTTAGGTTTGTACTTGGAAGAAGATTTCAGATTTCAGGAGCATGTTGGCTATGTGTGTAAGTCTAGTTATTTTAGACTCAGGCTTCTATATGCAAGTAAAACGGTTTTTAATAGAAAAATTAAGAAAATGTTATGCGAGTCACTCATACTCAGTAAAATCGCTTACTGCAACATAGTTTATTATCCCTGTCTGGATGAAATCACAAAATACAGACTGCAAAAAATTCAAAACTCATGTAGTCGTTACATAAACAATTTAAGAAGGTACGATCATGTTACTCACTCAATATCTTCAATGAATTGGTTGAAAACTTCTGATCATTTCAAATACAACTTTGTTACATTTGTCGTAAAAATATTAAAAACTTCTGTTCCCGTTTATCTTATGCTAAAGCTTGTTCGTAGGAATTTAATTCACAATTTGAATACGCGCAACATTAATCTCCTGACAATGCCACAACATAGGACAGCCATTTTTCAACGGTCTTTTACGTATAATGCGCTGAAATTGATCAACTCTTTCGAACAATGTTTCATCAGCAACTTTTCTAAAAAAAAAATTAAAACTACTTATTGAGCTCTTAGGTTATTGTCCTCTCTTTGAATCGTACGTATTCTGTTTTTTGTTCTAATCGTACGCATTATGTCATATTTATTAATTCTTCTTTTACTATTATTCTTCCTTTTCCTTTTCTTTTTCAGTTTTTTTTTTATTTTATTTTGAAGGTAGTAATAAGCATTGACATTTATGGTTAAGTATAAATGGCCATTGGCCAGACTTCGCCATTTGTAAGGATACATAATTATGTATGTGTTACAATAAAGTCCATTGAATTGAATTGAATTGAATGTTTAGTTTATAACGGCATATTCTGGTACACATCTTGAAGTGGGCCAAATGAAGTGGGAAGGGGCTCGTAGTCGTAGTAGTAGCAGCAGTTTATTCGTGTTATCACACAAAATGTGCTTAGGCAAGTCGTCATTTCTATAGAAGTAATATAAAGTAGAAAATAAATGACAAACAATACATAAAAGACAAACACTACAAATTATACATACAAACGTGTTTAAACGTTTCACAATAAGAAATATAAGTGATAAAGTTATAAAACAAGCTAACGTGAAATTAATAAATAAGCATAAAATTGCAGACAAAAGATAAATGATGGACATACAAGTTTTTATTAAAAGTAGCATAAAAGGTTATAGAGGCTGCGGCAAGAAGTTGTGATTGAGGAATAAAGTGAAGTAAATTTTTCATAACATTATTGAATTCACTTAGTACAAAAAATCGTCTGATTCCATTCCATGTTTTAGTGAATCTGTGTTACTACTTGTACAAATTTTCCTTGATTCTGATGTTATATGGAAATCATGGTGGCTTTATAAAAGTCCGAGGGGGACTTAACATACATGAAGCAACTATATATGCACGCGCAAAGTAACGTCATTATTTTTAATTTGTCAAACTCAGCTTTGCAGGAATCTGTATATTTTA